TACTTCAGTCATGCAAGATACAAAAACTTGATAGTATGCTTGCTTTCAATTAATGACAGATTGTTCACCAGTAAAAGTCAGCAGCTGCATACTGGATTTCTAGAACCATTAACATAAAGTTGCACTCCAACTCTAAGAGCAGTTACTTTAAACAGAGTGGATGCTCTCAAATAGAAAAGAATAAATTACTGGAGCAGATGTGTTATTTTACCATAAAAGGTAATATATTTTGAAAGGTGATACTTTACTTCTCTATGTTATCAAGTAGAATACTACTAAAGAAAGAAAATCAATTTATGACCACAATCCTGTTTGGAGACACTTTAACCAGATAAATCAATAATACTGCAAATAACTTAAGACTGTAAATCAAGATATCTTTAATCTTAATTTCAATGTTGTGCACCTTTCAGCTGTATTGGGATATCCTTTTTTCTTACAAGTGCTGCTTTCACTTGCTTAGTTCACTTAAAACTGTTCAACACAGGGGGCAGCAGTTTGCACAGCAGATACAGCAGCAGAATCCTGAGCTCATAGAGCAACTGAGAAATCATATCCGGAGCCGATATTTGAGTGGCAGCACTGAAGAACATTCCTGACTTCAATGAGTCATATGAATTGGAATGATGTAGAACCCCAAAATGTATACCATAGTTAGTAGCAAAAGCACCATTGTAACTCTTCTGCTTGAATAGAAGACAGAAAATTCTTTGTGTGTGTTTGCAAACAAGAATAAATCTGGTAAACTGATCTCTTGCACATAACTTGGAACATAGCGTTTATGTATAGTTACTCCTCTGAAAATTAATATACTGAATAGGTGGTTTATCAAAATCCTCAAGCCCAAATTATTTCAGTATGTGCATCAGATTGACCTCCAGGGCTACTGAGTGGGGAGGAGTTTTGTAGTGTGCTGATCTCGCCTAACAGCTACTTCTAAAATGATAGTGTAAAAGATGTGTTTACTCTTATGGTGAGAATCATGACAGTTGTACTCCTTTAAACAGTATTGAAATACTGAAATATTGAAACAATAGTCCAGCCCATCTGATGTGCCCTTTCATAATGAGTATTAAGTAGTGTTGGAATAGAGACTCATGATTGAGAAGTCTGTTTCCTTAATCCTGGGGAGGGGCTTTCACGAGTAACAGGAAATACTTTTCAACTTCATTGGCTGGAAGAGAGGGAGATGACTGCATATGAAGTAGTACCACACATTGTAGAGAAAGAGAAGACAGTAATTTTGTCTAGGATTATGCACAGAAATCAAAATGGAACTTGGCTTGGGAAAGGAAAGAGAAGTTGTAGGGTTTTCTACTGCCATGTATACCCTCATGTCATTATGGTAGCCCTGGAGGTCAGAATTATGGCACTATGTTCCTAGGCATGGCAAGCTGTATTACATTCCGTATGTATGCAGTATTTAATACAAACTTAAAATTCTTAACTGTAATAAGCTAAAACTGAGCCTGTGACTGTACAAATAACTAGTACTGAAAATTTTAAAAAAAGAACTGCCTTAGAAGGATTCTTTTTCTATTGTGTGATAAATCACTGGCTTAAACAATTGGGGATTTTTTTTAATTATAAAATGATGCTTATATAGTCAAGTTAAAGATTTTTTCGACTCTATAGTATTTGTTTCTTGCTCAGTTAATATTACTCTTGCAAGACTGCTGCTCTTCTGTATGTCAAGTATGTTAACTTTTTTTACTCTGTTTACTGTTCACACTGCTTTCTGATACAAAGTACACTTGTTCTTAGCCCAGGGATGTTCTCAACACACTTTCCTCTTCCTATATCTTAATTAATTTTAGGAGCTTACTTTGAATTCTTAGACAGAGTGATCTCTGGTGGCCAGTCAGACTGGAGGAGGTATGTGGAGGAGTAACAATAGACTCCCAAATGGAGAAATCCACAGAAACTCCTGAACCTTAGACTTTATATCCAATTGATCTTGTGCTCATGAAAGAGCTTCTCCAGCAGAAGCAAATGCAAAATTTGGGGCTAAGTAATATATTTCATTCTAACAAATTATCGTTGTACATCTACGGTATGAATTTTACCCTACTAAACAGACAGAAAAATGCTGATCCAAGGAGAAATGAAAGGAATTGGAGAAAACATAAATCTAGGAAATCCATATTACCATCTATTGAATAAACGGGTAAAACTTAATACATGAACAATTTTAAGACATTTCACACTTGACTGAATAGCTTGCCTATGTACAGCATTAAAATGCTTTTGAAAATTCTTTCTCTAAGTTGGTGTAGCTGCTTTCTTCAGGTTGTAGAGATACTTAAGCTTTACATTAAATACCTTTTTAAATAACAGCTTCTGACTCAACATCTGATGATGAGAAAGAGAATCCATAAAGGGATCTTTTGTCAGAGGTAGCTCAGATCCTGAATCTTACTCATTCAAGGAAATTTACTTAAGTTCAATTATACTAAGTAGGACAGGAATACAATTTAGAAGAAAGATTTATGGAGGCTTGGGGTGGGTTACAAAGAGTGTACAGGTGTTACTTGGAACAGTCTGTTGTGTCAGGAGAGAAGCACTGTACCTAGTATGTTAAATGTCACATTTCCTTTTAATTCTCCTTCATATCTTCAACTGCCCAAAGTGTGTTTCACTAACTTTGACAGGGGGAATCAAAAAATCTGTGGTGGAGTGGGCAGCTCTGCCAATATCTCTATACAAACTCAAATTATTCTCACTTTGCAACAGCAATCCTCATGCAGTTACTTTTCTGCTTTGAGACAGTGTCAAGAATTTCATAAGAGTTCCTTAAGAACTACACAGTAAAGATCCAAAGAGGGCAGAAGAAGTTGTATACTTGTACTGTTCAAGTACAAGCTCCATAGCTTAATAAATTTATAGGAGAGCAATCCCCAACATTAAATGGAATGAAGTATTGTTTAGTTACCCGAAAACTACTTTTTAAGTCATCATGGAGTTGTAATTTTAATTTCACATGCTACAATATTGTTGTGTTTAGGTTTTACTTCAGATAATACAGAGTATATATTAAAATGTTAATAGCATTAGCTAAGCCTTCAGGAATGTGCTACAACTGACTGGCACAATACTAGTAAACATTCTCTGTTTCTTATGTATTAACAGAAAGGGCTTTATAGCCTAAACAAACAACAGTGAAATCAGTAACAGGAGCTGTTATTACATGCTTTTCCACTGAAACCATGAACAGAGAGATCATTTATGCTAAAGTCTGCTTTTCTTTGAATTGCCTAGATTGTTTCAGTCATGCAACATGTCTTAATCACAGGGTGTGGAAGGATGCTTTTCCTGTGCAGTAACTGCACTGTATCTTGTGCTAAAATTTTTCATCCTCCTAGATAAAGTGGTAAACCACAATCCCTGTAAATATTGCTTTAAGATCAATCGCAGTTTATCATTCAACTGAGAAAATCCACAGTTACACCTAATAGGTTTTGTATCATTACTGTTCCATCAGTGTATAAGTACGATAATTTGTTAGAGAATAAAGTATTTTGCAATCAATTGTGACCTCCTGTAACCTGCTTGCATGGGAGTATATTCTTCTAACTATGATCATAGAGACACTTAATGAAATATTCAGCTTAGGAATTGTTTCAGTTGCGCTTCTGGTTTTGTAGCAAGTGCAAAGTAAAATCACTCATGCATACTGAGATAGAACTAGTTCTGTAATTTTGAGTAGATTGTTTTATGGCAACAGAAAGTCAAATTGGCATAATGCAACTTGTCTACTATTTCTGTATCTCTCCTACCTCTTACTGCCATGTGGTTACATCTCCTTCAATTTGTGTAGTTTAACTCGAAGATATATTATAAATAAAGTTATATACTTTTTTTGTCTGTACAGTTGTGGTTTTCTGGTTTACTTTTCTATGTATCTCAAGTAACAGGTAAAGTGGATTCTTTAAATATCTGCTCATGTTGGTTGGATTTTATCACATAGGAAGGACACATTTCTAATTTATTGTTTCCTGTATGGACCTAGTCCCTTAATATACAAAGCTGGTCCTCAATTTAGCCAATATTTTAACACTGAATACTACTCTTAAAATTTTATACAATAGAGTCAAAATTAACTATGAAGTTGCTACGTGCCAACATGGTAGCTGAGAAATACAAGCTGCTGATTAGTGTCTTTAACACCAGTTTACCACATTAAACTAGGAAAGACAGTTGCCATTTTATCTAATAAATGGCTACCTCTGGGTAACCATAGATATTTCAGCCAAAAACGTTTCCAATTTTTGTCAAAACAAAGCTAGGGAAAAGCACATTGTAGTGCTTGACCAAGCCCTAAACTTCTTCCTGTATATATGCTTTAGAGAAATTAATCTAAGGCAGCAATGCAGGATGGTTTTTTTCTTTTGTTTGTTTTTTTTTTTTTTTTCAGTCTTAAAAATCTATTTAATTGCCTCTGGGAGGCAAAGAATAATTGGCACCACCTTTTTTTAACAATAAAAAACTACCTGAGTTCTACTATTTTAGTTTTCAGTTCCCTACTAATTGAAAAATATCTGTTAACAGTGTATCCTGTATTGCAGAAATGCAGAACTTGCTCATGCCAGCAGACAACTGGGACAGATTTGCTGTATTGCTTCTTTTTCAAAGACTGAGCCACAACCAACACAGTCTTTGGCTTATACTCCAATTCCTAGCTCCACATGCCTCTAACAGTGCCAGCTGCACTCTTATCTCGTGCCTTTATCAGGTTTTATTGCCTATGGCTATACATGTACCATACAAACACACTGCCATGCCAGGTACCCCATATTACTTTTTTTTTTTTTTGGATTTGGATTCCAGGAACTTGTCTGTAAAGGTCAGTTCCTTTGAACTGAAGTAGTCTTGTCAGAGCCATGATTTTAAAAGCGTTTAAACACTTAAAAAAAATTAAAATAAGAAAAAGTAAATACAAAATGGTTATATTTCTTACCAATATCATCCCTCTGTCCTGAGGTTATGTAAATGCAATATCATTTTCTAGAACAACACATTTCTCAAAGGTTTTATTTTTAGTAGATAAAATGCATATGCATGTTTTAAAATATTTGAAAACATTCAAGAAATGCTCAGAGAAATTAAATAATCATTAGCACATTTCCAGCTATATGTGTTTGTTTATACTTATTTTAGAACAACTGACTGCAAATCATGAAGAAATTGGTTAAAAAAACAGTAAAAGTACAGAATTTTTTCTTCAGCTTTGCTTGATTTCTGAAGAAACTACACAGACTTGTGCAATATCATCATACTCGTATGTTCTCTTCAAAAATGTGTCTGTAAGTCTTAGGCCAGAGACACTCTAGAAGGGGAAAATATTTATTAAGAGTTGTTATTAGAAAGATTTTTTACAACAGCTATTTTACAACAAAACTGTGCTAATAACTTACCTGCAATCCTTGCACTGAAGACAACAATGTCAGTGCAAGATGGAGGGATGAACTTGGGTACAGTTTTCCAAGTTGCCTTCCTGAAACTCCACACCAGTGGATGGAATTAGTATTGCACATTTCTAAAACCAGATCCATAGTCCTTTCACTGCTAGAGGAAATCAAAAAACAAGAATAAACCTGTGGGCTTTCTTAAGCATTCAAAGACTGCAGACATCTAAAAGCTTGATTATTATTCAGGTTACTATTAATCAAGATTCATAAATAATTGTAAGATGGCAAGCAGTATTTACTGTGATGCACAATAATTCAGCTGCAGACAGCTCTCTTTGACACAAGCATCCTGTCATGGGTTTAGCAATACTGGATAACATAATACTTGGATGGACTACAAGGTTTTCATGAGAAGTATCTACAGGCCAGATACATGCTTTAGTCTCTGGGCTCAACTTCTATATAGAATTTCTTCATTTAAATGTCAGTCTTGCAACCCCAAAATGAGTTGTGATTTAAGTATGAGGTACAATCATAAATAATATTGCAGACAGATTAATGGAATTTCTTTACAGAATTGTGGCTATCTCCTAGTTCAGTACTGCATTACCAGATTGTGATATAAGTTTTTTAGTTGGAGTTTTTTTTTAGTCTCTGTCTTTCAAGTAGTTTTGTGTGACCACAAGACTAGGTGTAAGTAGTTTCAGTAAGAAGTACAGAAACAGAAAACAAAACCAGCCACCCCAGTCACCCACTCAGAAAAAAGTAGGAGAATCACGTGACATTGTTACCTGCAATTTGTTATTTTACATGTAATGTCAAAAGGTTCTTCCAAATTTACAGTATCTGGTATTGTCTCCAATGAAAGCCTTACATCACCGTAACCAGGAGCCTGGGAAGGAACAAGAATGTATATTCTCAGATGCTGGACAGGGAAATTGAAGTTTTTACTGAAGTTTTCATTTCCTGGAAGAAGTGTGGAATAAAGAGAAATCTGAAGAAAAGATTGACTGTGCCTTTGATTAGTATGGAAATCACAGCAGCTCTCCAACTGATGAACACTTCTTCATGGGTTTAACAATTCATCAGATAAGGATGATCTTTATTACTACATTTTCAAGAGAGTGTAAATCTTTAAAGTTTGAATAGCCATATACAGTTCCTGAAAATACTAGCTTTAATCTAAGGCCTGTGCTAGGCAGATAACAGATCTGTGTGGACCCCGCCAGTAACACTTCCCTGCATAAACCCACCACTATTCCACATCCTAAGAAGCAAGAGAAACCGCCATTTCAGTCTTCTGTGCCTCTGCTAAAATAATTGTCATCAGTCAGAAAGTCACATGATATGAATACTTGTCAGTTATCCAAGAGACAAACACATCTCATGGTCTACTAATAAGCCTATAGTAAATAAACTTAGTACAAACCAGGGCTGAGTCAGAATAGTCACCTGCAGATCAAAAAGCATGTTTAGATTTTCAATTCCCACAAATGATAGATCATGAGAGAAAAATAGGGGGAAAATTTGTCCTGCCTTCCAAAGCTTAGTTATTGTACATTTTTAAATTCTGCTAATAAAAAGATGTTGTAGTGAAAGTTATATTTACAGTGTGATTGAAAGATATTTCCAAAGTGTTCCAGAATGTCAGTGACTGACAGGCTGGGAACAGGTTTTAGTCACATAAGTTTGCTACAGACCAATGACAGATGACATTTGAGAAAGCATGTTAAACTGGACATTAGAGTAAGCAAAGGAATGTCAAACCAATGGGGACTTAGATTAGTCAAGCAATATGCATTTGGGACCTTGCATGAAAGATAAGTAATTATTTGGCAGTGGAAAAATGCAAATATATTCAACTGTATTAGGTGACATGGAGGAATTGACTGGAAAAATTAAACACATTACACTAAACAACAGTGTTTAGTTTCCATTAACATTAGGTTCTTCTTTTTCCAGAGATACATTAAGAAAAAAAACAACAAACACAAACCTGCAATAAAAGCAGTATTTTAGAGAATAAACTTAGCATTAACTGACCAAATCAAAACAGAATCAGAGTAGATGAGACCTATACCTTATAATATCTGTTTGAACTCAAAAATGAGATACCTCCAGAAACTGACGGTTAGAGGCAAAGGCCATGAAGTGACAGTAAGAGGAGTAACATAGGTTTTATCCAGAACTGAGATAATTGTTCAGATTATGGAATCAACTAGACAATTTTGTGCTTGTGCTACTAAAGAATCATGTTCTCTGACTTTGGACTGGTTCTAGTGTGATCCTGTACTGAATGCCTGTGAGCATGTTGAACATCCTCCGGCATATTGTGAACACCTGCCTGGTTCATTGTCCCCCAAAGAGACTGTACTTGTGAATTCCAAGACCAAGCCACATTAAAAACAAACAAACAAACAAAACACTTCCAGAAAACCAACCAAATCCACAAATTATGGTATATGGATACTTGTTCTAAAGGTGCATTTCTGATCTGACCTGTCACTAGGTCACTTCTCTAAGTTTTCCTCCCATTTCCATCCACGACACTTAGATAAATAGGTAATAGTAGAGGTAAAATTCTGGGCCTGGGTGGGAAACAATGGTTACAGTGCTGGCAAATGGATTAAGAGGAAAATTATTAAGGGTGAGGTCTAGAAATTAAATAATGTGATAGCACTTAAAAAATGATGGGAGAAAAGAGGGAGTTACACTGCAACTCGGAAGGGGAAAAAAAAACCAACTACCTGCTGCTTTTCTAAAGACAGATGTTGCTCAAAATACCCAAAATAGTGTTTTTCTGTTAATCACAAGGCATAAAACCACAAGGCATGATCAAAACTAATCCTGGAGTGTTGAAGCGTGTGCTTCACATGCAATTCTCAAAGGTTCAAATAAAAGAGATGCAGAGTGAGACAATATTGATTTAGGGAGGGAAAAGAAATGAGTGAAAAGGTCAATTGAAAATGAAAGAGTTTATTGTTAAAAATAAGCAGCAAGTTTCAAAGTAACAGCAGTAACTATGTTTAGGAAAAGGGCAGTTTCTAATTTCATGGGTTTATGCTAAACATCTCAATTAAAAATCAAGACAAATTTCAGTGACTTAGGAACTTTTCAGTAACTTTCTTGTGAATTTCCAGGATCTAAGTTTGTTTGCCTAGTTCCAAGTCAGTGTGACTTACCCACAGAACTGCTCAATGTACTAGCAGTTGGAGACTGGGCAAAGACACAGACCCAATTATAAGCTCTGTAAACTTAGACTGAGATTCAACTGTCAAAGTTTTAACTATGCTTCTGCATCTCTCTCACCATCCTCAAGTGAGAAGATGCAAACCAGGTTTAGGCATTATATGGCTGACAACTCAAAATTCAAGAACAATTTATAAGTCAACTAAAATAGGACAGACTCAATAAAAACTGTGGACATGAAAGATAAATAACATTGTGCATAAAAAAATGTTCCTCCAAGCTAAAATGTCTGTATGAACTTGGGAGCAACTTCCATATTGAGAGTTGGCACATTTAAAGAGGTTATTTTGTCAGTTTGCTGCCAAATGCTATCCAAGCAGTTAATTTTGCTCTAACAAATGTATTTTGCAACACTGGTTACTGGATTCTGACAATTAAAGTGTTCATTCCATTAAATTACCCACACTTCACTGAAGAAATATATGAAATAACTCTCTAATACATACAGAAAGGTGTGAATAAAAAAATGAGGCTCAGAAAGTAAACAGCTTGCACTTTTCCAAGTCATAATAAAAATAGTTGATTGAGTTTCCTTAAAAATGAATGCCAAGTTAAATTAATACTTAATTTAAAATTTAAATTTTTTAAATTAATTAATTTAGAATTAAATTTAAAATTAATTTTTAGTTAAATACTGAAATTAATACTTATGTTAAACTTACCATTCTTTGGAGCTGGCTAGTTTGCAGCCTTCCGCGTTCACCCAGATTAGTTTTCCATACAATGTCTAATTTACCAATCACTGTTACACCTTTTATTACTCCAGCTTTCTCTGCAAATTCTTGCTTTGGTTTTAGACAGTATAAGTATTGACGTGTATCCATAGGTTGTAAGTAAGTCCTTGCGCCAAAAGTAGACTCACTGAAAGGACAAAAACACTAGGTCTTAATTTAAACAGCTGTTCTGAAGATTAAGAACCCAATTTTTTTCCTCCATCCCCCACAAGTCTTATTGTATGTGTATGCATAGTAGTTTGATAATGGTAAAACACATAGAATATTCTTTTTTGTTTTCACAACAGAAAAGATCTCTAAAATTTATGTAGCACCAAAGACCATGGAGAAATAAAAGAACCTGTTCTTCTCAGAAATAACATAGAAATTCCCTCTGCTACATTATAATTAATTATCTGGCATCTTAACATTTAAACAAAAATGCTGGTAATTTTTTTTCTGCTATTTGTTTTCCCTCACAGTCAATCTCAATGTCATGAAACTAAGATTCCTATTCAGAAGAAAAACCATTACAGTGGATGCAAACATTTGGTAAAACAAAGCTTCATTATGCTGCAGGTGAATCCTTCAACAGGCAAGGAGAAGACAGAATTTTCACTTCAGCCCCTACTGCTGAAGCACTCAACCATCACCTCCAAAAACCCAAGCAACTGCAAAGCACAAACAGCTTCTGTTAAAAAAAAAGGTTAATGTCACAAGATCTTGTATCCACTGTAGTCAGTTATTATGTAGTCAGGTATTAGGTGTGTAACTAAATTAAATTTATTTTATGTCAACATGAAAAAACTTTATATTCTATGACTCCATGTGGGTGTACCACTGATCCACCTTGACTGGTGTCTTAGTATATCATGATTAGAGCAACTGAAAACAGTCAGCAGTGTACTGATAAGAAGCAAGGATTAGTCAGATGACTTCTGTAAGGCTAAGTATATACACAGAGGTCAGGTCAAAACCAGAACTGGGTTAAATTTTATATAGGAGATACTGAAATAATAGTATGTTTTCATGTTATCATGTCATTATTGTTACAAATTATTTAAGGATTAGGCTGGATAGTTCTCTATTAGGTAGAATTACGGAAAGAAAACTGTAACAAGTTTTCCAGTTGAACATAGAATAGGATTTTGATCTTTTTACTCAAGCAAAAACAAACAGTCCTCCCTTTAGATATAAACAACTAATACTTGTATCTCTTGAAATATTAATATGAAGCATTTCAAAGTCAGATATCCTGAATGTAAACATACCTTTCCCCTGCTGTGGCAACTGTGTTCAGTTCTGCAACATTGTACATCATAGACGGCTCTAAAGAAACCTTCTCCATAAACATTGGAGAGGTAGTGATATTCTGAATTTGAGCTTCCAGAAACACTTCATCTGTCTGAAAAAAATCAAAAGTTCAAGTTCATGAAGATATGATTAGTGTTATTAAAAAGAGTAGGCAGTCCTATTCTTAAAAAAAGTCACACATGTTTAGTTCATGCCTGCAAATCAAATTAATTAATGCAAGAAAAAACCTTAACCCCAGTAACAACAGGAGCAAAAGTGTTAGTCAACAGATATCTTGCCAAACAATGGATGTGGGATAATTTTACTGTGTTCTTCCACTTCCCAAGACTTTAATCAACTTAATAGAAACTCAAGTTTTATCCAAATTATTTATAAAATGGAATAAATAGTAAGGAATTGCAGTGCATAAGAACATGTCAAGCCAGATCACTAGTGTGTCAAGCTGTATAAAAAAATTAAAGTAAATGTGTGTGTTTTTCTTTAACTGAAGTAAAATGGTTCAGGTATATGCTCTGAGCTTTTATTATTAAATAGTCGCATTCTAGCTAAAATGCAAAATCCAGCCCGTTCTCTCACTCAGCTGCATCATGCCAAAGGTTACCTATATTGTATACATCCAACAATTTAACTGGTGCTCTGCCTTCAGAACATCTGAAGCTAATGCCTCAAGGTGGTATCAAATGATCAATTCTAGTACAAAAATGAAAGCTACAGACTGTTAAACTTCAAAAGATGAAAAACTGTGGAACTAGAGAAGTATTTGCCTCACTTCTTTTGTGGAATTGCAGAGCAGTGAAATCACTTTGCATGTCTAAAGATCTCAGAATAGAATAATAGTGGAAGACTCAGTCTATTAGAGATGAGTCCCCAGAAAAATGAAAACCACAATTAAAGAAGTGAAAGTTAAAAGAAGGGGCATACCAAATTTGTAGTTACAATAGTCACTGATTCAGGCCATTGGATTAAGTGATTCTTGTAGGTCCCTTCCAACTGAAATAGTCTATTCTACAGATTCAGATTGAAGCAGTTTGAGTATTTTGTTACGATAAATTTTAAGAAAGTACTTTGGTGGGGAAGGTGGAACAAAACTTATGGTTTCTTTTTGGTCAGTGTAAATAAATGATTCTTTATACAAATAAAAATAAAATTGTATTTTATACAAAATAAAAGTGGGACAAAACCGCCAAAATATGTATAGTCTCAAAAAAATGTGTTAGAAGGAGAAATACAGAATGGTTGTGTTGTCTTTTTGTATTGCCTTATAAACACATTAAATACAAAGCAGCATCTATATATAGTAATGAAAACTGTGCAACCTCAACAGGTTACAGAGACACTTCATGCTTGCAGGAACTGGTAATAACCCCAAATAAAACATGGCTCTCAGTAATCATTACTACTACTGCCTGACTGCCACTTGAATTGATACAATTTATATCCCATAAATCCATTGCTCAAAGTTTCTATTTACCCAAATTTTAGTAGTTTTCAAAACAGCAACCATAGGCAGAAGTTTTAAAAAGCTAATTTGAAAGGGAAAAGAAAAAACAAGCAGCATAATGAAAAAGCAAGTTAGTTTTGTGTTATTCCTAATTTGTTTTAGTATTACATATTAAAAAAACCCAAACTTGTCAAATATGCAGTTTATTTTAGTACAAGGCACGCCTTAAAGTGAAATCAGACTGCAGAAGTAGCATAGTAACTCAATCAATTGTTACATGCAGTTAAAATTGTGAAGTGCAGTTCCAGCTAGCCAGAGAAAGGAAAAACATCCAACTGCTGCTCTCTCCTCAAACCCACTGTCTCCACCAACCAGATATGGAAAGTTCTGTCACAGCTCACACAAGCAGTGCTGTACTGAAACCTACATTTCCATGGGTCAAAAGCAGAAAAATTTTAGAAGGAAATTAACTTCTCTTTTCAAATAATAGATCTAATAAAATTTTGTTGAGGTATTTTATAGGAGGACCCCCATAAGAATCTGTAGATACCAAGTTCCAGTTTCAACAATGGGTATTAAAGAAAGAGCTAACCATTTAAATGATTAGCTACACATATAAAGATGAGAACATGTCCGTTTATGATATGCAGAACAAACATTGCTTTTCCATTATGTTTGTAAAGAATGTCGTAACAAGCACATAGACAGTTAAGCAATTAAAAAAGCATACATATTTATAAAAAAATAAATAAAAATTACCACAGAACTGAGGTCACTCTAATGGGAAAATAAAAAAAAGAACACATTAGAGAAATTAGGGTTAAATGTTAAAGAAAAAGGAGGCTAACTTCCAAACAAAATGCATTTCTGCATTTTTTGCACCATTTAAACAAGACAGCATTAGTAAGACAGAAAAAAATAAAAATGGATGCAAACGAAAGATGACAACTACATTTCGAACAACTTATAGCTAGTATGGTTACAAGATTTACTAGCTTTGCTTCAGAACCAACCCAAAGTAGAGCTGAAGGCACACAGGTCACAGACAAGATATGGTAGAATAAACTGACTCAAAAAAAAAGAGAGTTAGCTTTTGAGTAAGTTTAAAGTTTGTCCTGAATTTCAGTCCATGCAATGGGTTGCACATGAAATGGAGAAACGGTCCTTGTCACCTTATAGATAATTTTAAGTATCCTCATATATAATGTCTCAAAAATAATGTGGTAATGTGTCCTAGCAAAGCTACTATGTTGCAAGTTAGAACAAAATTTGGCATAATAGCAAGAAAAACTTTTCTTATAATATCATCAATCCAAAGACCCAAATTCAATTGCAAACTTTGTTGTCTACCTCCCTGTGCATGCTTGCAGGAACAGAACCTTTTACAGAGCCTTTTTTCAAGGCACATTAAAGTCAGTGAGAGAGTAATTCAAACCCAGGATTGCAGCAGGTTAGGGCAACAGGGCATGTGTTCTATGCATAAATTTCAGTGATCAACTCCATTTGGGTGCTACTGCAATATAAGCAATAAGCAAGAAGATTAATGTTCAGCGTCATTCCTTGACTTAGAAGAAATTAAATTATGGATTATCATTAGAATATTAATAGAAACTAATTTTAGTAACAGCCATTATGAATAGACAGCATCACATTCGTAATCTTAATGATTTAACAGTTTAACTGGTTAGTCAACCTTTAAAGATCTTTAGTTAATTAGTAACTGACACATACCATTTTTTTCTCCCCTGCTCTCAAGGATAATAGGATGAATTTCTTCATGCTTTCACACGCAACAGCTAACCATAGACTTATTTCTAGGTTTTTAGAAGTTAATTGAATTCTATGGTCACAAGACATAGCAATACTTTATATACTTTCAGAAATTAGACAGGAGTGCTACTATACCAGTTTGATAGGCAAATGGAAATTGCTCACTTAAAAGCATCCAAAATATTTTTAATTATTTTTTTCAATAAATTGAATGGGTATGATGGTAAGGGGAGCTGCATAAATTCATGAGCAGGAAGAACAAAGGGCATCAAAGAGCCTCTTAAAAACTCTACAGTGGAAAAGAAAAAGCACAAAAATAACCCCAAAACCCAAACCCACATGTACTAGATCAAACACCAAAGCTTCTCATAGATTTTTACCATGAAGAATTGGTAGCTAATTGAATAAGACTATTAACAAGACTGGTCAGTATAACTACTATGAAAACAACAACAAAAAAAAGTATGTAAAACATTTGCCCAGAATTACCTTAGAGAGGTGCTTCATCACAAACTTTACACATGAAGTATAAAGAGACAGCATCATTTCAGATATCTGTCCCTTTTCCCTACTACATACTTTACAGCTGAAACAATAATATAATCCACACACTAAATAAGAAATATATTTTGCTCCCAGAGAAATGACCTAATTTCTTAGAATTTGTTCTTAAATCACAGCAGAAAACATTTTCAGGCATTCCCACTTACAGATAATAGCAGCTCTATAAAGGGCTCAGTCAGTGCTATGTGTTTATGCTACAGTCCTGCTCAGGTACCTCACACCTGGTCAATGCATGGTTTGAAGCCTGTGGCCAAAAGATACATACCAAAGTCTTCCCATAAACAGACAAAGGCAGACATGTATGTATGTCCAAATAAATATGCAAAACATACATAAAAGGTCATTTAGTTTAGAAGCACTGTGTGTAACTGTCACAAGCCTAAAACTTAAATTACTGGACTCAAAGGTCATAGTAACATAGGGAAAAATCTAAATTTAAGTTTTACTCACTGATAAATTGTCGTCTCCTTTATGAACAATTAATCTCCCTTACAGTAAGTACTCTATCAGCCTAAGCAATAACTGAAAGTATCTGAGTCCATGAGAAACTGGAATATATGCAAAATTGTTAGTCAATTAAATTAAGGTCCTGGCGTCTTTCACCCTTCATCAAAAGCCTATCTATTTTTAAACTATATGATATATATCTAACACTGTTTTTCCATTAGAACAGATCACTTTTCTCAGAAAGGTGTACTTAGAAAGCACTTTCAATTTAACCTAAGTAACAAACCCAGTATGCCTAAACCTGAATACACACAGTTCTTACCTCTGCATTGTAGAATTTGGTTTTCACATCTAGTGGTTTAAGAACCTGAATGAAATGGAAAAAAAGACAGATTGATGATTGGTTTTTCAGACAGTTTTGCATAGACTGTTTTGAAGTACTAGTCTCTTTTACTAAAAAGTGTTATTTTTCTTTTGATCTTATATATAGCAGGTGCATGATAGAATACATGACAATCAACTCAAGAGTATATCCTAGCTGCTTCTTACTTGTGCACACTTGACTGCTTTCCTACTAAGAAGTCTCCTCATACTGAAAATAAATAATTCTCCACCTAAGCACTGGCCTCTTACAAAACTGCCCAAATTCAATGCTCTAAGTAGATCTGTGTGTTTAAAAGAATGCTATATCCATCCTGGGTCCTGCATTTTCTTTCAATTGTATGCAAGAACTATCTAACATTTACAAGTCCTTCAGAGTTTTGTAACAAAAGTTACTGAGGTCTTCTCTAAACATAAACGAAGCAGAGAACTATCCATTTGTTTAGCTTTCCTAACCTTCGCTTCCTTCTTGAAAATGCAACTTCCAAGAAATTAAAGAAAATCATAATACATAAAATAATAAATCATATTCATCTTATGAGATCCAGTCAGCAAAATATGAAAACTCAATTATATAAAATATGATTATAAAGTGTTGGTTCTTAAGGCTTGAATTTTGTGCATAAAGCTACTGCAGTTCACACATTCAAATATGAAGCATAAATAAAGCAATGTAACTGAAAGAAATAATCTACTATCATACTTGTAAGAAACCAAATTTAAATTCTGTTTCTGAAGACACTTATTTCCCATTACAAAGGGAAACTATTTTTGTTTGCATGTAAGTGCAGTGCATCCTGAGAGACCTCTAATGTTCCAGGTTGTCAGCAAATTTTTTAGCACTGAAGAATTCAAGATCAAAAAGTTGTCTTCACAGAGATTTTATAATTTTAAATGCATAAAGTTCAAATCTTTCAAGTATTCATAACTACCTTCCTCTAGTAAAAAAAATTGAATAAAAAATTTTAATTTAGGTCTCTGTTGAGAGACAATTTCTTCTAGCAAATATTTTTCTTCAGTGAGCTTCTTATAAATTTTCCAACATGCTGAATTTTTTCTCTCTTCTGATAAACAGTCTTTCCATTTATTGCAGTAAATTTCAACTGGCATTCCAATAAAATACAAAAAATTATTGGGAGGCTCAAAACCACCCAATCCTAGAAAGAATCATTCCTTCTCCATGAAAACATAATGCTGTTAATTACTCAGAGAAAGCTCTGGAACAAAGGGACATTAACAATTAGTATAAAACTACATATATTGGTTTAAAAAAGAAGCTGATTCAAACCAACACCAGTTCAACTTAAAAGATACTAGAAAATGTAACTAAAAATCTGACAATCTGTAGAAGAGTATTTTTTATTATAAAATGTAGCTAGTGACATCTCAATCACTAGCAGCCATGAATTTTCACTGTAAAGACATAGTTCAGTTTTCTGTAACACTCCTTTTTGTTCATTCTCAAGTTTCCTACTGGTGTCTCCATGTCAAATTTAAAAACTAACAGCCAAAAAAATTCTCAGTGCAACGTTTTTCTCATAATGAATCAGAGAGTATTTATAGAAATATAAGGAAGTGTATGTATACTTATGCTTCATACTTTGAGTGAAGGGCTTCATATTTGACAACTGGCTTCAACTGTTTTGACAATTTAGTTGCCTGTGCTGGCTTCAGTTAAGAAACATGGGAATTACACATGCATGCAGAACCCCCAAAAAACTGCACAGATAAGTCTGCATACAAAATCTAAAGGAGACAATCTTGTACAAAGTTCTGACAAAAAGAACATCAGTGAACAGAGAAAATATGAGATCTGAAGCTTGCACATGCTTATGTAAGCAATCACAGAAAGCATAGAGGGGACAGAGAAACAGAACACTGAACAGAGGAAAAGAATGGAGAAATGGAAAGGGAAGCATTGTCATAAGGAAAGCATGACAAAACACACAAAGATGAAAATTAACTTCAGTAAAGATGAAGAAACTCTACAGAGATGCTAGTTTCAGAGGGAGGGCAATGCAAAAATTTATATGGAACCATTTTCCCTACAATTGTTAGGAAACATCTTTGACTAACCAATACTTTGGTAATCCACAACAACTAATAGCACTCAAATTTTCTATCTAATGCATGGCAATTTAACCTTCTAAAGACTGAAATTATTTTTTTTCTGAAGTATCTAGATAGAATACTAGAAAATAGCAAATTGCAATCACCCCATAGTATCACAGAATCTCCTAAGTAGGAAGATAACCACAAGGACATCAAGTGCAACCTCAGGAATATGTGCCTGACACCAGTTGTCCAAATGCTTTATGAAAACTTTGTCAGGCTTTGCACTGTGACCACTTCCCGAGGGAGACTGTTTTGGTGTCCCACAACCCTCTGGGTGAAGAACCTTCTCCTAGTATCCAACCCAAACCTCCTCTAAAACAGCTTTAGGATGAAACTATATAATGCTCCTGGTATTACCAGATGCTCTGTCAGCGTATCTAAAAATGTATTCAGGAAAGCATGTCATGCAATCCTCCATTCCATGAAGATTAGTCCACCAATATCCAAGTCTCAATATATTTCTTTAAAAAATTAAACATCCATGAAATACATGTCAAACAGATTTTTTCTTGCCAGAACCAGCCCACAAATTAGTTTCTTGCTTTCCTCAAGTCATTCTTATCACAAGTCTTGAAATTTGTGTCATGGAAAAAAAGGTTTAAATTCTGTCAATTACTTCTGTCAGTATTAGATATAATACAATAGACTTCTTTACTTAAATTCCTCTAGAAACCAAACTATTTAATTCCAGTTTAAGAAGGTTACACACACCAAATGAAAAATCAGAATTTTACAATACGAGCTCAATGGCTGGATGTATCAAATCCAGAATGTCCCATACTTAAAATAGTCATAGAGCTGACTGCTATAAAAAGGGGCTTTTTAAGAACATATTTTTTTCTCAATAAATTAGTAAAAATTATTAGCTGTAATATTTATTAGATCTGTTTAACTCTGTAGTAATTGGAAAACACCAGTTTATGTGAAGTTTGAAGCAGTGTCTCTTAATGGTTCACTTTTAAAAGGGAATGGATTTTTGGTACCTAAAAGTGCTTATGAAGTATCAAATGCTTTAAAATGCGTTTTCCAGACTCACACACTTATTAAAAGTAAATACTTCACAAAATACCTGAAATTTGAAGAACTTTCTGAAGTACATCTTCTCTCCAGTCTGTGTAGTATAACTTACTGCACAAACTAAGCTGAAAAAAACAAATTTAAAAAATATCTGTGTTAATTTAAATCTTGTGCTATATCAAAAGCAGAATAGCATGCATGTACTCCATTTCATTTAAGCTCATTTAATAATAGAAAAGGATAAAATTTTACATGTGTGTTCCTATCTCCTTTACTTCATGATGGATCACATCATCAATGCAACAGTCAGGTTTAAGTTCTGCCACTGCAGCACTGGAAGCTGAAAGGTTCAAACGCTGAGAACTTGTCTGAAGATCAGCCTGGGTATGGAAAAACAAAGCATCAGTTAGAACTACAGCTATTTAACTTATGTTAAAGGAAAGTAACTTATGTTATAAAGTACTAGGTCTTACTGAGCATTTTGTACCCTATATGCTTTCACACATATTGTAAGAGCTCAGTTGGTCAGAACATGGGCTCACAACACCAAGACTGTGGGTTTGATCCTTGTGTGGGCTACTGGCTTAACAGCTGGACTTACTCATCCTTGTGGGTCTCTTCCAACTCAGAATATTCTGTGATATTCTTGACTCAGGTACCTTCTGTGACATACATTAAGATTATGAGATACACAAAGCTAAAGATAAGTTGTAAAAGACATAAATAGTCCAGTTCTTTACCATACAGCTTACAAAATTTCTATTTACTTTTTTACATTGAGTTCCACAATGACTTCTGAAATTTTTACTGTTTTATTTGTTCAGAGAACAAAAAACCCCAATTCTCTAGAAAACAATTAATACAATATTGAGATCAGTGTATACTCATCTCATTGAAAGTGAAGGTAAGTGAATGTAACTCCATTTTTTAGCTGTGGAAGTTTTGCTACACCAATTCTTCAGAGAAGTTTCAAATAGAAGGGTGCATGTCCAAAGAAGATCAATGGAGGTGGGGGTGTTTGGCCAGGAGAAAAAGACTCAGGAGAGGGACTTTACTGCTCTCTGCAACTACATGAAAGAAGGCTATAGCCAGGTGTGAGCTGATCTCTTCTCAGAAGTAACAAACAATTGGAGCAAGAGGAAACAGTGTCAAGTTGCACCAGCGGAGGTTTAGATTGGATAGCAGGAACAATTTCTTCACCAAAAGGGTTGTCAAGTACTGAACAGGCCGCCTAGGGAAGTGGTTGAGCCACCATCCCTGCAGGAGACTTTGCAGATGCCGAACTTAGGGATAGAGTTTAGCAGTGGATTCGGCAGTGTTGGGTTAACAGTTCCACTCGGTGACTTCAGAGGTCTTTTCCAACATAAACTCTATGATTCTGTAATTTTTTGACACAATCCTAGTTTTTCATTTTAATCTTTGAAGTATTCTCTAATAATTGCTATTTTTATGACTCACTCTTTCCAATTTCCAGGTATATTTTCTGGATTGGAAAAAGTGACATATATTTCCTAAAGTCTACATATTAGCCTTAAACATACAATATATTGTCAGAAAATATAATAATTGTGTTTTATTTTTTTATTAATATTTTATAAGTGGATTTTTCTTCACATACCTTCACCAGTATGTCCTTGACAACTTGATTGCTATCATTGTGCACACTAATATAACTGGAAAATGTCTCTCCCAGAAATATATTTCTGTATTTCAGGGAAAAAAAAAAGAAAAAAGAAAAAAACAATTAGTAACAGTTATTAAAAACCAGAGCATTTCACTGAAACATTTTTAAGTTCACACACATACACATTTGCCAGATAAAACCCTAGAAGAAAACTGGCATTTGCACACCCATACTTCTGAAGTCATCCTTCCATGATAAACAGTTTCAAAAGAGAACAAACAATCAGAATTTTTTCTAGCTAAAAGTCTGACACAAATAAGAAGATGGCTTTCAGTACCCACAAAAATCATGGCAGTAAACTTTGTTAGTGTAATGTGGTTTACAGTAGTGCATTCGCTTAGAAATTCACCTACAGCTGCAAATCTCTTTCAACTTTCAATCCTTACTAGGTTCAGTCAGGCTATCAGACAAGAAACATCAGGCAGCATACACATATATATTTATAAATCAACCCACATATTATTTTTAAATGACTGAACATCTTGTTGTAGAACAATGGTATTCAAACAGAAAGAGAAGTATGAATCCTAAACCAAATGAATCCTAAACCTTGCATATTACAGTTACAATCATTTATTCTTACCCAAAATTTTGAGGCAAAGTCAGCATTTCTCCTAACATCAAAGTTTCAGCCCCCTTTACAGTAGAAGGATCATCTTTCATGAGCTGGTTAAATAGATTACCTGCAAAAATAACAAGTTCCTATTAATGAAATATTTTCTAAGTCCAAAGTTTTGTCTACATTTAAGTTAGGCCCATAATCACTTACTCATGTAAGATGTAGTTTATTTTAGATACATTTCTTTTATAATAAACTTGTTTAGGGATGAAATATATATCCATAGGCCTGCTTTTAAGTTATAACTTCAAGACACTTGTGACCAATAATTTACTCAATATATACATACTGAAGTGCACAATCCAAAAGGCACTCGTCAGATTAATACTGAATTTTGAGATAAATTCTACCAATCTAAACCACATTACATAACAGAAGCAATCAACCCTGCTTGCTTTGTATTTCAACACAATCCTCCTTCTTGAATCTCTCCTTTGACTCTCTTATACTTGACTTCAAGACTTTAGCTATTTCTGGAAAACAACTCAGGGATTTCCAATTCATGATGGCACACCAGGCATAATGCAACTCAAAACCAGTGATTCTTGCAAGATTGTTTTTCCACAGAACATTCATGTGTTTGTTCTAACTACCAGGGCCTTTTGTCCAAATTAAAAAAAAATATATAGTAATGCCAATCTTTCTCCACTTACACATTTCCCTCACAGAACTGCATCTCACTGTGTATGTTAACTGCTAAAATTTTGAGGTCATGTGCTTGCTGAGTATCATCACCAATCTTTCAGAGATACAGGTCAAGAGCTATGGAGTGCACCTTGGTACTTTCCTTTAGCTATTACCAAATCTTAAGTATACTGCTGTTTCAGATAAGAGTCTATGGGACGTCATGATGACTCTAACATATAAGTGTTCGATGGTCATACTGCTTAAACTTGGTAAAACTTACGTAATAATCAGTTAGTAGAAAAGACTTACCTGGCAAATCTCTTTCTTCACAAGTCACCGGAATATTAGTGAACAAGGTAGGTTTGGTTAGCCTCATCACTGCAAAAATAAAAAAATTAAAAAAAAAACAAACAACAAAACAACCACTGGTCAATCAAACAACTAGTTTTAATTTTATTTCTCAACTTCTACAAAAAACCCAAAACCACTCAACAAACCAAAACCACCAAACAGGTTTCAGCTGAAAAAGGATCACATGGCCTTTTGCAATACAAAAAAATCCCTCCCTGCTATTCTAAGATCCAAGAATGCCATTGCTTCCTCTTGCTTTCTATCCTGGTGAACTAATCTACTCATCTACTGCTTTCAATATGATGTGCAAGAGGTTTTAACACCTGCTACAGCATTAAATGCTTTGTGGTCTTCAGAAGTGTGTCCACTTCATTAGTTTGTAGACTTTTCCAGCTTAAGTGCCTGTCCTGTAATCCTTGTTGCCCTAGAATGGGACATGATGACTCATACCTGGTAACCCTTTCATTTTAGATACCTGATAACCCTTTCAGTCTATTAGAAACTGCATTTATATCTTAACCTATAACACTATAACACATGGTAGAGTTACAAGACTGAAAGTCTACATTATTTACACCACTGCTTTTTCTCTAGGTCACAACCTTTAAACCCAAACCAGTAAAACTAGCACAAAAACATCATGAAAATACAACAAAGCTATTTTATTGATACTGACAAAATCAAAATACTTAAGATTTTCCTATTTAAAAAACCCTATTTCAAATAAGTGGTATTTTCAAAGGCCATTTTAACTCAGACTCAAAATTACATTATTTTCACATAAATGACAGATTTAAGGTGTTACTTCTTAAAGTAATTTCTCCCTCTTCAAATTAACCAGAGGCCCTAGACTTATATATAGCTTATCATGAAGGCATTCATATGAAACAAAATTGAGCATTTGTAATCTTAGGTGTTAATCTGAATATGTCAAAACCATTAGGGTTTTTTTCTTTGAAACTTAACAAATATAACACCAACTAACACTAAAAAATAAACCAAAAGGATTTATCTTGATTGCAACAAGTTAATCAATGCCTTTGCACTGACACAGTCAATTACTTGGATAAGACATTTGGGTACAGTGGGCCATGTTGGTTCACAAGAACTCATGTTACCATACAGCAGACCTATGCAAATTAGCATTGACAAAAACACTTTTCACATTAAAAAAAAAAAAAAAAAAAAAAAAANATATATATATATATATATATTCTCTTTGTTATGGTGACCTTTGAAGACTTAAGACTTAGAAGCATGAGGTATATTAAACGGAACCCAAGATATACAAAATAGAGTAAATATTGAACCACATTCAACATTGAAAATTAAAAAGAAAATATACTGAATTACACATGCTTATGAAGTAAGCATTCCTTGAAAAGAACAAAATTAAAGCCTGGATTTCAGCTTGTATACTGGTGCTAACCAAGACTGTAATTCTGAGAGCAATCAAAAGTGGTGTTCATTCTTATATGACCTCAGTTACTAGCTGAGGTGCATCTACCATTATTCACATACAAGCCAACCCAAAGCAGCACAAAGCTGGCAGCTACAGTGACAACAATCTCGCCTTCTGTTTAGTAAAAAGTTTGTTTAGATCTTTTGTCAGTATATCAAATTAATCTAGTGGGACTGTATTACTGGCATTATCCAATTTTATTCAAATTCACACTAAGCCTGTATAACTAGTATTTGCTGTTTCTGAAGAAAAAGTTAAGTCATGTTTCAGAAAATAAATAAATACATCACAGAATTAAGTCAAAACAAACTATGATAGGCATATTACCACATTTATTAGGAGTACTAAATTAAGGTTAGAAAATGTATCATCTAAGATCCTAGATACAAAATACATTAAATAGAACTCAAATCACACTGCATTTTACTTCATTTTATTTTCAAAAATGCTGATGCACAAAGAAATTTTGTTACTATAAATTTTTAGCTCAGAAATATAATATCAGTGAAAAATTTGGCTATATAAGCTTCAAAACTAGTAACAGCCCGCAGTTGTACTGCAGTTATGCAGTCTAGACAGCATTTTGAATCAATTTTGCTAAGTGGTCATATTAAATGTCACAAGCACCCCAAACATCAATATAAGACATCTACAAATATCTTAAAATTCAGTCAAAATTTAAAAATACATGTCAATTACTCAAATGGAGAATTTTTTATCTTAAAAAAAATGCAATGCCTAGATAAAATATGATTATCCAACACAAGGATGTTATAAGAATGTTTGGTTTCAAAAGGAATTTACTTTTCTTATACAGAGTTTCCGTTATGCTTAGGTACACTTTGGTGTGAGTGGCATTAATGACAATCAACAAATACTGTTTTCCCCCTTTTCCAGATGCTACAGGCCTTGACCTCCAGCTACAGCATAACTGTCTAGAATTAACAGGAGCAAAAATGCATAACCTTGCAGTCATATTGATCCAGTTTAACTTCTCTGCTGATCCTCCAAAGTTTTAATTGAGCAGGGACAGCATGACCTTGGAATATTTCAATCTTTTAGGAGACAAAAAGTCATCCTGAACTCTGCCTTTTATGACCATAAAAGGCATTCAAATTCTCAAAGACAACAAGAGGTTTCAGATAGATGTCTCATTTCTTAATTTCCTCACTTTTAGCTGGAAGCTAGTGTTTTCTTGTTCCCGAATGTAATTAGAGACAAAAACAAGAGGGAAAAAAAAAATATCAAAAGCATAGAACAGCAATTATTAAGTTGTTCATTATTTTTCAGCCCACAGCTCCTATTGAAGCTATCATTAATACTTTGGTGAAAATATAGCTAACATTACTAAGAGAGTGTATATATCCCACATAAAGTAAATTTGTACTTCATGGGAGGGATATGCAATCATTAGAAAAACTCAGAGACTACTTTCAGGAAATAACCAGATCTTAAAAATCCTAATGTCAGTTACAGCTATTAGAGCAATTACTACAACACACTTAAAAACGTCTTTCCTTCTCCTAATTCCAGTGAAGCAGAGAGGATGTACTTTGTTTAACCATATTAATTATTAGCATTAATTTTATTATCTGACATAGCTTGCCACAATAGTCTGGAATTTTTACTTTAATTTTTTCCTGTAGACCACCAAGGTACAGAAAAGCTATAAAACACAGTACTAAGCTAAACAGAAGCTTACTAATCTTAACAGAACTATAAGTCTTGAGGCAAAACAAAGTTAAAGAAATATATCATTAAATATCATTATAGTTAGAAAGCTGTAGCAAAGTAACATAAGTAGTTTCCTTATGGTTAATTTATCAGTTGTTCTAAGGTCTATATATTCTAAAGTGCTTAAAAACTCTAGTATTTCTGGCAGTAATGTTATTATTAAACTATATCTGAAGTTATAAACTAAATATAATTCCATATTTATGTACAAGCAAATTCATTTTATCTGTAAGGCTTAGCTTTTCCCTAAGAATATTTCTAACATATTCACAGTATAATATATCACAGAAAATCCATATCTGTCCCATAGATCTTTGGATAGTAGCATTGCAAGATGGCAATTCATTCTGTTTAATGAGTCTATTCAATTTTATCCATATGTCCTCCAAATTCTGGTTTTTACAAAGAGATTGTTCAATTGTCCACTTGGCTCTACAAAATGCATGCAGCTTTAATCTTTCCAAATTATTCTGCAGTTCCTGAGATAAAGGATGAATCTTTTCTTTGAGTTTAGCTCTAGGGAGAGAGACACTCCAAGACCTTTTCAATTTTTGTTTTTCATTAGATGGTGGTTCTCCTTGATAGTCCAAGTTAATGGGTTTGTGAACAGCTTGTGCTTGGATTAAAGTTGGACCATGTTTCATGCTAGAGTGAAACTCAAGGAGATTTTTTGTGCAGTCATAATCAGGAGATCCTGTAACACATTCTGAAGGTGTAGAAAGCTGTTTCAATTCTTCTGCTTCCTCACAAGAAATAACAGGTGCCTGCTTTTTTGGTTTGAGGGGAAGTCTGTGTAAATCATTTGAAAACCAGGGTGCAAATCTTGGTAACTGGCGAATGGGAAACTCCTTCACTGCTGCTTCTGCAAGTTTCTGCAGATTTATTAGATCTCTCTGATGTGGCCGATAGTGCAAGACCACTTCCATGCTTGAACAGTAGGAATCCAGTGATTCTTAGGAAAACAGTCTCTTGATAATGATTCTTGAATCTAGACTGAAACATCTTATTTACAAGAATTTCCTTGCCCCATGATGCAAAGATCAGTGGAAAACAGGACCTAAAGCAGAAGTATTATAAAACAATGAGATACTACCATATTAAGACAAAGGCTGCTAGGATATTTTTCAAGAAACAGGTAGTAAAAATATGTGAGATATATATCAGAACACTCTATTTTATCTAGGCTGAACATTAGCGGTTGTATTGTATCATTACCAGTGTAACTTCAGGACACTGAGCATTATCCACATGCACACTGCTTACTCAAAACAGTCCTTTACAGGACTGAGAACTCTTTTACTGTCACCATCTCATACTTGCCATCCACTATTCTGGTTATTTGTTGCGATACATATTAAAAGACACACATCTACTACCGCCTATTTTTCTCAAAGTTAGGAGACAATTTTTTAAAGAGTTTTAGTCCTATATATCAGGACTTTCAGCCAAGGCACATAAAGTAACTAGAAAACATGTATGTTACAGAAACCTTCCCAAAATAGTACCGACTGATACAGTAATTCTTAAAGTGAAAAGCTAAAAGGGAAGTGCTCTAAGTAAATTAAAGCTGCCTACTTCCATTTTACATCAGAACTACATATCTAGTTTTAGCCTCAAAGCTTCCAAGTGTTACATGCAACTAGGCTTTAATCCTTAAGGAACTGATCATTTATTAATTTATAAGACTTTGGGAATAACTAAGAAACTTATTAAGTTGTCAAAGGCTTTATACTTCCATACAAAGATCATATTAAATGCAGAAGCATGATGAACAGAAAACTACACTATTATGAAACAAGTAAAACATGCAGGGTTGCTCTCCTATTTCCCCTTGCATCCACAAAAATTTGCAATCATTTCACACTCCCTATATGGACAGCACTAACATACATGATATTAAAACAACAAAATCTAGGACTGCCACTGTCAAGATTTTGTTTAATACAGTCACAATGCAAATAAATCCCCCTATCTTCCCCATTTCTACAAAACCTACAGCCTGTATTAAATTCAATCCAAAAGCAATGATGGCACTGGTTTCTTATAAAAGCAAAATGATCCACCATCAAGCTTTTTGCTTTAAATAAATTACTAGCAAAACACATTTGGCAGCTGCTGATCTTTCATGTTCTCATGTTTTTGTCTTTATTGCATATGTGTATATGTATTTGAAAAGAGCTTTTTGAGCTTTGAATTATGGTCAACAGATTTTACCAGCACATGGAGACACCATTAAAAACTTTGTCCAGAAGAGTTTTAAAATGAGAAGATGGCCTCTGAAATTACTCATACCTGTACTACTTCATCCACCTGGGTGGTCTTACTGATCTAGAATCCTTGCAGAGGTGAGATTCTAACCAGCTCTTTATTACATGTACATAACTAGCGGCATTTATGATTCAGAAATTAACAAATTCTTCACATGGCTCTCTTGATTTCTACATTAATTTTGGAGGCATGGAGGTGACCTACACAATTGTATTTTCATTCTTCGTGATCCCTGAATCAAGGAGGTAAGCCTCGTAACTGAACACTATGCATTATGAGGTGAAAAGAGCAAAAGCCATCCAAAGGGGAATCACGGAATCAGCTGTGTTGCAAAAGATGTCCGTGATCATGGAATCCACCGTAAAACCGACCACCACTTTGTTAAATACACCGTGGCATCAAGCGCCGCGTCCAGTCTTTCTTTAAATACTTTCCGGGAGGGTGACTCCACTACCTCCCCGGGCAGCCCATGCCAGTGTCTAATGACCCTTCCCGTGACGGAATCCCTCCTAACGCACAGCCTAAACCTCCCCTGACGCAGTTTAACACAGTGCCCTCTCAGTGTCCTGAAAAGCAAACAAACAAAAGAGGCAGCAGGCGAACTGGAAAGGAAATGATAGCTGAGCATTTTCTTTGAAGCCTTGAGCACTGACAGCCGGGCAGGCGCGAAGAGCGGCCCTCACCGCTCCGTCACCGCTCCCTGATGCCCGCGGGCACCGAGCGCCGCGGGCACCGAGCGCCGGGCCGCTCCCTGCTAAACCGGGGGGAGAACAGCCTGGGCTGCGGATCAGACACGCTGTTTCACCACCCGATGGGGGCCGGGCGGGCGGGAACTGGTGAGGCCGCGCTGTTGGTACCTTTCAGAGCCAGCAAGTGCTCCTGCTTGGGCTGGTTGACGTCCATGGCCTTCACCCGCGGGATGGCCGGCGGAGCGGAGGAGCTGCGCAGACTGCGGCGGCAGCGGGCACGACCGTCCCAGGCTGCAGCGCGGCGGTGCGGACTACAGCCCCCAGAGTTCCGCGGGTGGCCCGGGTGAGGCACCGCCGCCTCCTCCGCCCGCCAGTTCTGCTGCGGGGCACGCTGGGAGTCGTAGTTTTACATTTCTGTAATTTTGCACTTCTGTAGGGCGGTGCCTGAGCCGGCGGCAGCTCTGCGCTCCTTCCTGCGCGGCCGCTCCTCCCTCCCCGAGATGGCGGCCCTGGCTGTAAACAAGGCCGGGCCGGAGAGTGGCCGCGGGCCTGCTGGTGGCGGTCGCGGCCCGGCGGGCGCTGCGGTGAAGGTGAGGCGGCGGCTCGGCCAGCTCCTGCGGCGGGCGGGCTGTGCCCGTCCGGGACGCGGCGCGGGAGGCCTGTGGTACAGGATGTCCCCCTGGCGTGCCGGGCTTATGGATTGGTTTTGGGTTTTTTTTCTTTCTGTATGACCATCAGTTTTGCTTTTTGTTTATAGCCTGAGATGTTCCGGACCTCAACTGTTTGCTCGCACTAGCTCGGTGCTGCGTTTGTAGCTTGCTGAGTGGCTCACTTGGTATGACTGACCTCTTTACGAGCATCAGCTGCGAGGGAAAACTCTACTGGCCAACACTCTGCTCTGGCAGATCTTGCAGGCCGCTTCCTTTTCCTGCGAGGATGTTTCTTCTGGTTGTGCCTCTTGACCAATAGACTTGTTTTGTGGCACTGTATTAAATGAAGTGGGTAGGAACTAGTGGTGGTCAGGCAGGATGCTGAGGAGTTAAAATGTTTTGTTTGTGTCTAATTATTTATTTACTTTTTAAAAATCAATAGTATGATCGTTATATGTGTGCATATAAAGCAAAATTACTGACTCAGTTTATGTACTGTGATTGCATGAATGTCTTTAAAATAAATTGTCATGTAGCTTCCTGTGTGAAGTTTTGCTTTTTTATTAGCTTAAAACCAAATATGGTCTTTTACCTTACAGGTTCTTGAGTGTGGGGTCTGTGAAGATGTATTTTCTCTGCAAGGGGACAAAGTTCCCCGTCTGCTTTTGTGTGGTCATACTGTCTGCCATGACTGTCTTACCCGGCTTCCCCTTCATGGCAGAGCAGTTCGTTGTCCTTTTGATCGACAAGTTACTGAACTAGGTAAGGAAATAGAAGTTTGATATTCTTGAAACCTTACAGTCAAGGATATCTGGAACATAATGCTTGACATAGATTCTTAGTGCTCCACTTAGTGACAATTCCAAGTAATGAATGTGCAGTAAGGAAAAGAAAGAACAGATTTTGCCTTTTTGTTCTTGAACCTAGAATTGCACTCTTTATATCTGGACATCTTCTTGTACACCTGTATTTACAAAGGGACTAACTCCGTTTAATGTTGTTGTGTAAGGATTCCTGAAGTATGAGTATTAGTTTCCTATTGTCCTAAACACTAAACTTATGTAATTGAATAGGTAAATTTTTGACAGACATTTACCTGAATTCATGGTGAAGTGATATAGAGGGAAGGATTAGTGATAACAAACCTGGTTTTTACAATGTTATGACTTCTATGCATGCATTATTAGTAGTGGCAGGCTATTAACAGGAATTCCCCTACTCTAAGAATGTCTGAATATGTTACTTGAAAGTATAAGATAAAGATTTTTTTATTACAGTGAAAGTTTATTTTAGGCAAAAGATGACATGTGCATATAATTCCTTCAGAATAAGAATTGTGAAGTCCACATGGCGTTATAGAGAAGACAAGTTATCAGAGGAAGCTGTAACAAAAAGAACTTGTTAATAGAACTGGTTCCAGCAGTTTTGAATAGCACTGGAGGAAAAAGGAGTCTCTTGAAAGGAAAATCTTTAGAAAAGGGCATCTCTAATCTCATAAACCATGAAAGAAATGTTTAAGTATCAAATTCACTTGTCTTTGAAGTACAAGAATCTGCTAGTTATATTAAGGCACTCTGCAGGATGTTTTTGTGAAGACAGAAATCAGGAAAAGAAATATCAGTCTCATATGAAAGAGGGGTTTGTTTTTTTGGATGAGGGAGATGGTAAAGTATGAGAGTTATGAATGATTGCCAGTCTAGTAGAGTGGTTAAGAGTAATGGTTTGTTTAGCTTCTCATCTATGACCGTACAGCTGCACAAGTTTTCTTAAACTATGCTTTAGAGGTAGACTCTTAAGAGTATGACAGTCCTGTTGTTATGAAACATTTTTGTCCAAGACCACTGCTTTTTTTCTTGTGATGGGGAACTTTTTGCTTCTTCTTTTTATTATGCAATTTTTCTCAGGCATCTGAAAGGATCCTATCATATTTTTTCAGTGTGTTTCATGTTTGATGAAAATAAAGCTTTACTGAAACTTACAGATTTTTTCATCTTTCTGATAAGTTTTTGGTGAAATGTTATTAAACCTCCAAGTCCCCTACAGTCAGAAAGAAGGATGGAATGCTTCAGGATCTTTATATATTGAGGAGTTGATAAATTGAGTTGCATCCTGCTGTCTAACACTAGAAAGAAGAAGGATGCACTGTGATCAACAGCTGTTCACAAAAGTAATTGGTAGAAAATCTTATCCAAACAGCTTGAAAATAAAAATACTTCTGTGAATGAAAGTTCTACCTGGTGATCTGAGGGAGCGGGAGGTCATAGGCACTTTTAGTCTTTCCATGTCAAACACCCTTGAGATATATTACTGGTTGTAGGATATAAAACTAAGAAGTTTTGTGGAGTGCAGCTCACCATGGTCCCTCTTTGAGATATCTATACATTTTCTACCTTGCTTTAATCATCTAGTGGTTGCTGGTATTGGTTAAATTTGCTGCAGTTGTAGTTTGGTTTTGTTCTAGAGCTTAGGAGTAGGGAGGGACAACTCAGGGCCCAGAGGAGCTTTTCATATATCCCTCCCCTCTGTTTGAGGACATGAGAAAATGAACTCCATGTTCACCCTATAGTAATTCTACAATTTAATGTGTTTAATAAAATAGTGTTCTCTAGTCTCAGAGAGTTGTTTAGTATCTAAATCTTGATTATACAACCACTGCCAAGAGAACATTATATTGAAGGAAAAGCTGTAAAATTAGGACATAAAGCTACCTGTACTGAACACAGTTTCTTAATCAGTAACTGTGGATTTTATGGGGACTTTTAGTTGCTCTTACTATTAAAGCACTTAATACTATATTCATCCAAGTTTTCCTAAGTAATCTTAGTAGCTTTTTGAAATAAATACTGGGGGATGTGTATATGGGTGGATGTAGCTATATTTTTTTGGGGCTGGACTCGGTTTAAATATACAGTGCTGTCTCTTTTTTTCTGTATATAACTGTATCTGAAGGCAGGGTTAGAAGTACTTTGTGAATCAGGATTTTTGGAAATATGTGTTCTGCAACTGAAAATTGAAACATTGTTTACATGCTTAGCAAAATTTTCTATTAGTTCACCTAGAATAGAATAGAGTCCTGTTACAAGAGAAAATATTTTGTAATGAACAAATAGGACTATAGCTTGCCTAAACTGTTCTGCATTGCAGAAGAGACAAAACGTTGGTTTTTGGTGGGTTTTTAAAGAATTCTTTAATGAAGTTGTCTGTGATTAATCTTCTAATGGAAAATATTAAATTAGTATGTACATGCTGAAGGTATATCAACTGTTGTCTTTAATTGGATTAACATTTTTTTAAACAGAAAGGTGCAATAGAACAGTTTGTTTCATTTTAAACTTTTGAAATAATATATTCTGGAGAGTGTAGATTCAGACAGTTTATGAGGGGGAAAATCCAATAAATGATGTTCATAGAAAAAGAGGCTTCTATCAAAGATTTTCCTTGAAGTTTGTTGATTTGGGAGAAAAGGCAAATAATTTCTTGCAAATTGTTTTCTCTCTTCCTGTCTCTCACTGGTTATTTTTGGCTGGTGGTTTTTTGTTTGCTTGTTGGGGAGTTTGTTTGTTTGCTTCTGCTGGGTTCTGGGTTTTGTTTTTTTTAATTAATATGTGGACCACAGTATTTTTAGGAAAAATCCTGTGATATTACCGCTTTGGAGTTTCTCTCTATCTACATTACTGCTGAGCTGAAATTATTTTCTGTAATTAAAACTTGTTCACAAGATATGCAGGTGATGGCATCCTTCATGGAATCCATCTGACTGGCGTTGCTTACATTTACACATGCCTTTGCTAGTGTTTGAGTGCCAAGCTGAAGCTTAAAACTGCTGTGCAAGAAAATGCAGTTAAGCATTTAGACAAAAATTCTTCCTTTATCCCTTCCATTATTTAATAGTTTTGCAGTCAAGCCTTATGCTTCTGAAATTGACATTTGTATTGTTAGCTGGAGTCAGTCTTAATATCTTTGGTCTGTCACTATCTCATTCCTGGCTGGCACATTTTCTGCTATTCATGTCTTATTCTTTTGAGATGACAGTCAGAATGTGTAATGATTTTTCTAATGGGCACAAACATTCTTTGTAGGCACAAGGATGAGATTGCTAGACTCTCTTACATTTGTGATCATAGCAGAACTTGAGGTGAGGTCCAAGAGAGTAAATGGATGTATTTACAGAACTCATCTTTTAATGATTTTAAATATAAAATAAACATTTGGTCAGTTGTGTTGAAAATGTGTGTGTCGGGTACCTAAAAATTGTATGGGTAGATTTAAAGTAAAAAGGAGCAAAGTCCCATTTGTGCAAATATTTAAACTTTATGATAGATACCAGTGAAATGAGACATGACTTTTTTATGAGAATGCTTATGACAAGGTAATCAACCTACCTAATGAGGGGAAGCCAGTTGAGTACTGTCTCTCACAGTGTGGTGCTGGACAGAATGTCCAGCACATGGGTGGATAAACACATCAGGTGATGGGAGAGCAGCTGGTCACAGGTCAGGCACAAGGGGTTACAGTGAGTGGGGTGACATCAGAGTGGTGACCTGTCACTAGGGGGGTTCCACAGGGTTCCACCTTAGGCTCTCTGCTCTTTGACATCTTCTTAAGTGATTGGGTGCAGGAC